ATTCTTATTTGATTAATAAAATTTTCTGATTATCTAGCAAAAAAAAAAAAAAAAAAATTCAATTATAAAAAGTTAATTACTAAATGTTATATAAAATAGAAAATGAGGGACTTGATCACAATTTAAACTTAATGGAATATTAAGTTGCACTATATGGAACCTATTTCCATTTCATACAAAAAAAACCCTAAACCATCGATACAGAGAGGAAAGAAGGAAAAAAAAAAAAAGAAGGAAAGGCAAAGAGAAAGTTAGAAGAAAAAGAAGAGAAAACCTTACGCCGTCGCCGAATAAGAAAAGGGGAAGAAAAAAAGAAGTAGAAATGGCGAAGTGCCTGGTCGAAAATTGAAGAATCCGACACATTCCATACCCATACCCATATTGTGTCGTGTTCGACACGGGTACTTCGTCAATTTCGAAGAGTCCGAGTATAAGAGGGAAAAAACATAGAAAGCTATTGAACTAGGTAGACAACCAAACTCAGAATCTAGTTTGGGTCAAATCTTGCCTCGTTGCCGAGTCATGTAATATTTATACCTTTATTTGGGGTGATAGACACATTTTTCTTTGTACAGCTCCCATCAAGGGGAAATATGGGATGAAGGGGGGTGGAAATAGATTTGGCAGTCTTTCTTCAGTAATACTGAATATTTCCAATTTTTCTGAAGGAAACTTACAATTTTGGGTTGGGCATTTTGTTGCTAATTTTGGGCTGGATGCTGTCTGTCTGCCTATTTGGAGATAAACAGCAACGTGGGGCTTCCTTAGCAGGTTGAATTTGTTAGCCATTAGCAGGGCTTAATTTTATGTAATTGAAGCGATAGCCAGTGCGATTTAATTAAACATTATAGATGTAGGTGCCCTTCTATAAATACTAGTGACTTGATGATGATAAGCCTTGAAAGTGTGGAATTTCAAATTATAATTGAGTCTTTGTCACCCCATACTTCTTGTTCTTGATCTTACTCTCTTAGGGTGGCTGGTTTAATTATATTTGAGAGCTTGCATTACATGCTACTGAATAGGAAATTACTGGTTGACTTTTGAAATTTCCACTCCTAGTGGCAACTTCCAAGCTTGTTATGGAGCTCATCTTTAGTTGGAGATGGGAGTTATTATTTGACTTGTGATTGAGCCTAACCTAAGCATACACTGCAAAATTCTATTTTATTTCTCAGAATTCTTTAAACTGGTTTAGGAAAACCCTGTTGGCTTGAAAGATGATGTTGATTTGGGGAACCTGGAAGGATAATGTTTTTGTGGTTTTCATTTTCATTTTTGCTTTATTTTTCTGAGTCATATCCAATATATGTTTACTTTGAGGGGCTAGGACTACTTATTTTGCATTTTTAATTATTTAAGAAGACTAATTTGTTAACTTTAAGGATCGTCTACATTATATTTTCATTTTAGACAACGTATGTGAGATTCTTTTCAAGAAATTCAATTTGACTGTCAAGTGTTTTTATGTAGTCCCGTTTGTCATTTTTTAACAGGATAAAGGAAGAGGAGAAATTGAAGCATCAAAACTTAACTCAAAATGTTCTTTTATGCAGCTCTTTGCAATATTGTTGCTGGTTCTTGGGCCCAGTTTTTGTGTGTGTGTATTTTTGTTATTGACATGCATTTGCTGTCGTAATAGTTTTCTGTTCCAACATACTGCCCACTTTGTGTCTATTTTTATGAATATCAATATATAATTGTCATGCATTTTGTATTGAGAATAGTTTTCTCCAATGTACTATCATAAATTATAGTATTCGTTAGTAATTTGTTTTACGTTCTATAGGTTTTTTTACTAATATTATATTTCCTAATTTATTCAGATCAGACATAGCGTGGAAGGATGCCAAATATGCTCAGATTTGGGAGTATCTTAGAGATGAATTTGAATTGACTCAGAGATTTGCTAGTCTTGATTTTAAGTTGAAGTTTGTTGAGGTATTACGTTAACCTTTTTATACTTCGTATATGTTGCATAATTTCCTTCTAATGTAAATGATTGTAATATTTGATGTCTTTATTTTCCATTGCAGCACAATATTCGTTTTCTTCAAGAAATTCTTCAGAATAGGAAGTCAGATTTTCTGGAATGGCTCATTATCATACTAATAGGTGCTGAGATCCTCATCTCTGTCTATAATATTGCCCATTAGTCATCAATCACATCTTTATAGAACCAAATTCGTGTGATGCGTGAGCCATGCGATGTGCTCCTTGTGGATGCACTCTGCTGTATATATATTTAATTGATCTGCCATTATCCAACTTTTCATTAAGATTCTTCATGTCCCCTATAAATTTTTGACTGAAAACCCTTCAAGGGATTTGTTTATCACCAATTATACTGTATTAGTATTTGAACTATGTGACTTTTTCCTGTCACACGAAGGAAATAGAATCCTTTTCATATCTATTGGGTGATAGATTATTGGTACAACTTACAACATCTTTCTTCATGGTAATTTTAAAAGTACTCTTGAATGCTTTGCTTCTTAGTGCAGTATTAGTAATCTCAAGATGTGTACATGAAAGATACCTGGCTAAGGCTGGCTCGTTATTTAGTCTTAGATTTATCTGCCAAGTGCTCCATGCAATTACATCCTAGATATTGTTTGTGAATGTTTAGTCTTTTTTTTTTTAAGGAAAAGATTCAAGTTTCATCTAAAATGGTAAGTGATAAGAAATTTGGGATTCAATCTATACTGGGATAGTTGCAAAGAAAGCAAGCTGATGTGGCGCAGAATGTATAGCCACAGCCCCACTCCCTACTGCAACGGACTCAATGTATCAAGGATTCGAGCATGAGGTTCTGACCTGGGCCCAGTAGAGAGCCATAGATTGTGCAACCTCCGTACATCGAGAATGTCTAGCCTATTGTCCCGATCAAACTGCAATCCATAAAGGAGCAATAGATTGTGCAACCTCCGGATTAAAACTTCCCCTAAAAACCCGAGAACTACTGCACGACTATCCAGAATAATCACCCTGGTACCCTCAAAGATGTCTTTAGCTCAAGCAGCCGCATCAACATTCCACCCGACAATCGGTTTAACCCAATACTGCATCAATATGGACCACCTTATTCAGAGGCTGAGATAAAACCTCGGCTTCTTTCCTAGTTTCACCATGAAACACCCAGTTTCTCTCACTCCATAGGAACCATAATAGACAACTGATTTGCTCAAATTCATTCTGGTGTAGACAATGAAAAATTTGTAGAATAATGTCATCCACTGTCACCCAATACACGGTTAAATACTTTAATTCTCTCTCAATAGCCAGCTGCCCTCCATAATAGTTTATCGATTATGTTGTAGGTAAATCATTATGTACAATTAGCATTATTCATAGTTTATAAGAAAGAAAGAACACATGCATATTGCTCTTGCCCAATCCCCACCTAGAGCATGTAAGATCTTCGGGAATGCTCAACAAATTTTCTACAGAGGGATGCCAGTTTTTAAACAAACTCCAAAGGAAAATCAAGAGTTTTGGTGGTAGTTTGTCCTCTCATCACTTTCCACCAGCCTTTTAGGCTAAAAGAACTAGAACCCTCTTTTCCCTCACTTTCCCTTGCAATATCCTATATCCACTCTTGATTGTGCCATATCAAATGGTCACACCTGCCCACACTAGAAGGGAGGGATAGAATTACCTCACTGTCAACAGGAAGGAAGGAAAAGAGGAAAATGCTGAGGGACCCGCTCTTCATCCCATCCAACCTTGACCCTCCTCATGTAGCAGTTTTGCACCCGGACCAAACCCCCAACCAGCCTAGAAATATGCATGAATGATGGGGCACGAGGTAGTCATGGGTCACCATAAATATTGATCTTCGATCCATCTCCAACCCTTCATCTGAACCCCTCTTGATCAACTCATGTCTTCACAGTATGCTTTTCCATAAAATGGAAGAACAAGATTGAGCTACAGCTTCAAGGAAAGACCTGTCCCAAAAATATTTGTTTTTCATAACTAAGCCAAGAATCCCCATTTCTATCAGCTTCCGTGCTTGTTTAGAAACTAGAGCCTAATTAAACTTCCTCAACTTCCGAAATTAAAGCTCATTTCTCACTTTTGGTTCACATATTTTCTTCCTACTCACCCATGAAATCTTTCGGCTTGTTCCCTATCCCGACCAAAATCTCATAATCATCGATTTTAGTTCCCTGCACAATGACTTTCGTAATTTGAATATGCTCATAAGTGAGAACTGCCTTTATTAATACCTCTCTACCCCCTTGAAAAGACTCCTTTTCCGACCTGTCACCTTATTCCGCAGTCTTACATCCTGCAAATGTTCTCATTTTATCTCTTCCTACCAACGATGGATGTCTTAAGTATGCATCGCGTAATTGGTATGAAAGTTGTAAATTTAGACATAATTGTAATTAAAGTTCGTGGACTATATATATAATTAAATAAGAAGATATCAACAAATTGGATTTGGTCTTTAATTAAAAGTCCTACTTGTGTTTTAATTAAGACTTCTATTTGAACTTTATTTGGAAACCTTATTATATATGGATTGAAACATTTTTATCTCTATAAATAGAGACTAGATAGAACCTAAAAATTCTGCAACAACTTAATACAATAATTATTCTATAGCGTTTCAAATTCGAAGAGAAAAAAATTATTTTCTTACTTTATCCATATGTCCAATCTAGAATTTGTTTGATTTAATTAAAAGAAGACGTCCATCCACTGGTGTAGTTTTAACTTTGGAGAATATAGAAGACTTGATGATTTGGATAGTCTTGGAATTAAAAGCTGAAAACTTGTGATCCAAAAGACTGAAAGTTTATAATTTAGATTCAATTCAATAATTAACCATTGAAATTAGGTAAACTTCAAATAATTTATTCTAGATATAATATACATGTAAACATGTAGATGATTTTTTAAATTTTTTTAATACAAGAAATTTTTAATTTTCAAGTAAATCTTATACCACATTTCAAAAATTATATGATAAACACCTGAATGATATTGAAACAACCAGATATGGAGTTAGGTGGGCTTTATGAAAAGGAGGAATTGTATTGACACGACGGATGCTACAAATTCATTCATCTTCATGGCTTGAACTGGGGTTGTAAAATATTTATTAC